TTGCTTTTTGAATACAAAAAACTGGCACCAGAAACTCTCCTAACACGTGTGGTCGGATCTGACGAACATTTATGTTTTGATCCCTTTGTAGATTTCCAAAACCATTTTCAATTATTTGGCGATACACTCTTACAAATACTGAGCGAGTTGGATGTCGCCTGTTTGGAAATCTTCGTGCGTATTCTCTGGCTGCTTCTGCTGCGTTTCCATTTACAAAGCTATACACAAAATGAATATCCGCTAACTCTTGATTGGAGAATAAAAATGGCATTTTTATAAAACTTACAAAAAAAACAGGTAAAAGAAACTAAATTTCGTGCATTCTCAATTGCAAAAAAACGTTTCAGGTTTCAACAGACAACAAAACTAACTGTCAACTAATTGACGTTTAACCTGATTCTGCTTTCAATTTCAAAAATATTTGCAGGCACAGCCTACTTCTAAAAATTATCGAGATACTGACTTTTTAACGTTATTTTATCATAAATAATTAAAAATGCATCGAACCTTAAAAATCGAAATATCTCAAAAACGGCTAACTATAACGAAAATTCACAAGAGAGCTTTTTTATGTTGAAAAGTGCGATGAATCAGTTTTTTATTCAAAAAGAAAAAAATTGCACTAAGAAAAAAATTTCCATCATTTTAATACACTACAGGTACAGTAGAGAGCGCCCTCTAGCGGCTACAGTAAAACTATGCCCATGGTTTGTTTTGTCGTACCAAAAAAACCCTTGTATACCAGTTTTCACTGTTATACATCAAATATTGTTCTAAATATTTAAAAAAAAATATTTTAGAAAGTAAATTTAAATACCCTGTATTTCGGAAGCCACGCATTTTTCGACCCTTGTTTATATAGACTTTATGCATTAGTTTTAAAAGTTCTATCGAATCTTAAAGTTATGCAACAATAAACTGAAACACCCTGTATATTTTTTCATTATTTATAAACTGCTTCCACAGTCAAACCAATAATGTAATGTTGCATAATTTGTATCTATCCTGAACTTTTAGTTCCACCTAAAATCGGAGAACCATTAGGATCGATCTGGAATTGATCCCAAACAGCTTCGACAGAAATGTGTATATGCAAGTAGTTGAACTATGATTTGCTATTGTATACATTATATACGTGAGTATCGAGATGTATATATTCACCATTGTGTACGCAATGGTGTATTATACATGGTGTATATAATGCGCCCATCACTGGTTGCTGTTAATATGTGTATAAGTACCAGAATAGAATAAAGTAGCATAAAACGTGGTACTCTCTCCCGTTTTTATATCAGCTTATAACTACAGGGTGTTTCAAATTCGAGCAACAGCATTGTGATCTCGCTAACGGTTAGAGAGACGAAGTCCATTAAGTGGAGGCAATGTAGGGTATTTAGGTAACGTAACAAAACGTCGCTTAGACAGTTCCAAAGTTCAAAGTACTTTCGGAGAGAGACGAAAAAACATTTTCCCGTGTCAATTTTTCATGACTTTTTGTAGTGGGATTTCAAAATAAATTGCACATTACCATTTCCACTTTTTCTCCTGTACAAGTTGGCTTAATTAGAACTTCAATATAAAGTTTCATCTCTTGACCTTCAACGTCAATCTTATTTTTCCTTGAGGACGATATATTGGATTTTTGTGCAGTTGACTAGAGTTTTCAATTATGATTTCAAAAATGTATAATGTCATACACTGAAATTGCCAAACCTTAGTTATTTCAAAAACACGAAATTTCCTAGGTAGGCCTTGAAATTATCAGATAGTATTAATTTGTTTCAAGTACCAGATTTGAGGCCAAATCATTTTTATTCGAGTTGGGATTTCAAATTTTGTTTTTTTTTTCTCTAAAAGATGGGGTGGTCAAATTTCATAAGGACGTTATTTTGTAATTTTGTAATTTGAATGGGATTTTCAGTCCTAAAATCAGTATTGTACTTCCTTAGCTGGTCCTGATTTTTTTGTTCCACGAAAATTATAAGGAAATAGCGAGGTATGGTCAGTTTATGTACAGAGAGTATATGACTGTTGAAGACCCCAAATTGAACATAGATAGTAATAGAGTTTTGAAGAGCAAGAAAAAGAGAAATAAACCTCATGGACAACTGAGGAAAAACATAGTTTAATTCAGGACAAAATTCCACTAGTGTCCATATGAAAAAACAAGTCGTAACAGGAAATCTAGAATTGAAGATATGCCGTCTTGTAAGTGTAAGTCAGTTTGAAATCCTATTTCCAATAAAGTGAGAAAAAAATACAAACGAGGCCTACCTAGGACATTCCGTTCTTTTTAAACAACTAAGGTTTAGCAATATCGATGTATACTAAGTGACATATAAATCCGAACGCCCAGTTTAAATGGTTTTATTTTAATAAAAGTTGGTGAATGTATTTATCTTACTGTAAATAACAAGTGAAAAAATGTTCAGCCTTATCAGTTGGACATTCCGGTTCTTATACTGGTTTTTTTAATTCACTAACGCTCTAAAAATGAATATTTCAGCCGTAGTAATGAATCAACGTTGGCGGATTTTGGTTCTTGACATCCTTTACGATCGATTACGATGCCTAGAGTACGGAGACCTGTACGATTTCGTCAACTTAGTGAGTTTGATAGTGGCCGGATAGTGGGACTTCGGGAAGCTGGACTTCCTTTTCGGGAAATTGCAGTTAGAGTGCAAAGAAGTGTAGACACTGTGTCAGGCATGGCTTCGAGAAAGCCGTACGCAAAGAGCAAGGGGCACTGGACGCCGCCGTAGAACAACGGACCGTGAAGATCGCCGCCTAAGATTATTGGCCTTAAGGGACCGTTTCTCCACTACCAGGTCCATTGCAAATGAATGGTTTGCAGAACACGGAAGACCTATTGGCATGCGAAGTGTTTTCATACCGACCACACTGGGTCCTCCTTTTAACTCGAGAACACCGACGTAATCGCCTTGAGTGGTGCAGACAACGGTCACTCTGGGATCAGGAATGGAACAGTATTGACTTTAGTGACGAGTCTCGATTTTGTTTAGGCATGCATGATGGTCGTGCCAGGGTTAGAAGGCGACGTGGTGAAAGGAGGAATCCACAGTTTTTTGTTGAAAGACATGTTCATCACACTGTTGGAGTTATGGTTTGGGGTGCTATAGCTTATGGTTCTAGGTCACCTTTAATCTTCATCAGAGGTAACATGAACGCGCAGCGTTATAACCACGAAGTTCTAGAACCCCATCTTTTACCCTATCTTGACACCCTGGCAGATCCAACTTTCCAACAAGATAATGCCCGACCACATGTTGCAAGAGTCACAATAGACTCCTTTCAACATAATGATGTCACATTGTTACCATGGCCACCAAGATCTCCCGACTTATCCCCAATTGAGCACGTGTGGGATATGATGGGTAGGAGATTGCTCAATTTGCAACGTCCTCCTCAAACTCTAGAAGCACTTCGAGAGGAGTTGGTGGTTGCCTGGAATGAGATATCACAGGAGGACATTGACCACCTGATCAGAAGCATGCCTAGGCGCGTTGGAGAATGCGTAGCACATCAGGGTGCATCCACACATTATTAAAGGTCAAAGGGCTTTAAAGCAGTGCAATCATTTTGAAATTTTAATCATTTACTTATTATGCTTCATTAAGTACTTATACAAAATTTTATTAAAATAAAACCATTTAAACTGGGTGTTCGGATTTATATGTCACTTAGTATATGTCATATTATACATTTTTGGAGTCAGAATTAAAAACTCTATCCACATGTGAAAAAATCCAATATGGCGTCTTCACGAAACAAAAGTTGATGCTGGAGAACAACAGACGAAACGCCAAATTTAAATTCAAATTATGCCATCTTGTAGACGAGAAAAAGTGGCGATTTAATCTGCAATTTATTTTGAAATCGCACCACAAATAAAGTCCGGAAACAACTAAAAACGATATATCGAAAATTCTTTTTCCGTCTTTCTGCGGAAGTACTTTGGATTTAGAAACTTTCTGAGCGGCGATTGGTTAGTTACCCGAATACACAACTTCGCCCCCATTTGAGCGTCTTTACACCTGTTACCGTTTCCGAGATCCCAATGGTGAGGGTTGTATTTTGAAAAACCAGCTATATCCTGTACTACCTCTTACTTTTACATCTACTCTGTTGCTTACACCAAAACCAACATAACGATATCACTTGCTGTGGTGCTTCGCTATCTCGCTACATTTCGCATATTATTGTTACTGAAGGGTGGGCCATCCGTTGGTTTCCTTTTTAAATTGGTATTAAAACTACACTCTTAGATAATATGTGACACTCGATACTTTATGCAAAAGAATACACTTTCCGATTACAAGCGTCCCTCGTTTTACGCGGCATATTTATACGCGGTTTCGCTTATACGCGTTTGCGTTTTTGACAGCAGTGATTTATTTTACGCGGTTCACTTAAACGCGGTTGCTTCCCGCCGTTGAGTAGGGAATATCCTGGGCAACTTTTAAAAATCATTGAAGAAGAAGGTTTTAAGCCTGAGCAGGTTTTTAACGCGGACGAAACTGGCTTGTTTTGTAAAAAGATCCCAAACGGTACATTTTTATCAAAAGAGGAGAAGACCGCACAGGGCTTTAAAGTAGCAAACGATCATCTCACACTTTTGCTTTGTTCAAATGCTTCTGGAGATTGTATGATTAGCCTTTATTAGCGTACAAGTCATGTAATCCCCCTGCTTTAAAAAACAAAGGTAAAAATAAATTGCCTGTGTTTTGGCGTGCCAATGGTCATGTATGGCTTAGACTGGTTTGAGAACTGTTTTATACCAGAGGTTAAACGTTATTTGACGTAAAAAACTCTTGAATTTAAGGTGTTATTACTCATAGATAATGCCCCTGGTCACGCAGCCGCCCGTTTACAGGAAATAAATCCCAATGTTCTGGTAGAATTAGAAATGCTGTTAGAAAACTTGGAACGCGACCCTACAAAAAGATTAAGCCAATGCTGGGAGGATTACACAATTGCAGATTGCCTACATAATATTAAAGAATCGATTGGTGAACTTAAAAAATCGACATTAAATGGCTGCTGGAAAAACTTATGGCCAGAAATTGTGAAGTCTCATGCGAAGGTGCCTGATATCAGAGACGAATTCAAAGAAATTGCTGATTTAGGAAAGTCATTACCTGGAGAGGGATTCGATGATACGGACGATATAAATCAGCTATTTCAATCGCATAATGTTGAACTCACTGAAAGAGAACTCATAGAACTGACGGAGAACAATTATGAAGCTCAAGAAAAAGGCGAAGATGATGAATTAGTCCCGGCACCAAAGGAGTTGACGTTGAAAACGCTTAATAAATGTTTTACCATGGCACACGATCTCACCGAGCTGTTAATCAGGGAACATCCTACAATGCAAAGAAGTTTAAAAACTAAACGAGAGGTTTTGCAGCATTGGCACCATACAAGGAAGTTGAGAAGTATTTACGCAACGAAGCTAAACAGTCAAAAATTACGTCTTATTTTTCTAAAAATTAATATTTTTGTTAAAAAATATTAACGTTTAATGTTCTCATACATAATATGTATACTAAGTGACATATAAATCCGAACACCCAGTTTAAATGGTTTTATTTTAATAAAATTCTGTATAAGTACTTAATGAAGCTTAATAAGTAAATGATAAAAATTTCAAAATGATTGCACTGCTTTAAAGCCCTTTGACCTTTAATAATGTGTAGATGCACCCTGATATGCTACGCATTCTCCAACGCGCCTAGGTATGCTTCTGATTAGGTGGTCAATGTCCTCCTGTGGTATCTCATTCCAGGCAACCACCAACTCCTCTCGAAGTGCTTCTAGAGTCTGAGGAGGACGTTGCAAATTGAGCAATCTCCTACCCATCACATCCCACACGTGCTCAATTGGGGATAAGTCGGGAGATCTTGGTGGCCATGGTAACAATGTGACATCATTACGTTGAAAGAAGTCTATTGTGACTCTTGCAACATGTGGTCGGGCATTATCTTGTTAGTAAGTTGGATCTGCCAGGGTGTCAAGATAGGGTAAAAGATGGGGTTCTAGAACTTCGTGGATATAACGCTGCGCGTTCATGTTACCTCTGATGAAGATGAAAGCATCCCACAAACCGGCGCTAAATAATCGCGGCGAAGTATTCGCAACGAAATTCAGAGCGAAATTCGCAATCTGTTTCGCCTGTTTATTCATACCAAAGCGTCTTATTCGCTCCGCGAACGTGAAGGTTTCGACAGGTTGCGTACATTTTATTTTTGCCTTTTGCAATGAGCTCGTCTTCAGAAGAAGAGGAGGCACTTCTATTTCTTGCTTTAGAAGAGGAACAAAATGCACGGTAAGTTATGTTTATTTAACGCCATTTGATAGTTGGGTATGTATTAAGTTTAACGAAGTACATAAAACAAATATTTTCAATTTTGTTTAGGAAACGAAGGAAGTGGGTACATGATATTAACTTGGAACGAAATAAATTTGGGGAATACCATACCTTGATGCCACAACTTCGGCTGGATGAACAGCGCTTTTACGTATATTTTAGAATGACTCCAGAGTGTTTCGATGAAATATTGAACTTGGTGAAAGATGAAATACGAAAATCTGACACAAATTATCGTGAAGCTATTTCGCCAGAAGAACGACTTGGTATTACACTCAGGTAAAAAAATTATATGTATTAAAATTAGTAGGCTTATCGAATACGAAAACTTCAGGGATCGTGAAATAAATATTTTATTGTAATAATTGGGCTACATGTTGCCACTAGGATTAAATGTTGCTAAATAATTCGAGCAGAATTTGCCTCCTCTGTTGGGTATATTATTGAAGTAAACCCAGTGCCGCTTGGGAAGGACGACATACTACTATCATACATACTTGCAGAATTCTGGGTAGACGCTGAAGACGTTTCTTCAATATGTTCAAATTCTTCGTGCGCTATTAATTCGGCTATCTTTAGTTTTATTCGGGCTTGACGCTTTAAGGGAAGTGTTTTCACAGTCTGTGCATGTGCCAAGAAAAGTGAATCAATGGCCTCGTTCTCTTTTTTAGGTTTTTTACCTTCAAAATAATTAATGAGCTGTTGTACAGACGAAGATGGTGGTTCATAGCGTTTTCTGCTCGTTTTATATTTTGGTGTAGTTGCAGTCTGCGGAAAGGTGTGCCCTGGCCCTGGAGTAGTCACTGCTGTAGTGTTCAATGAAGAAGGTGGTGCTGTCTGTGTTGCCGAGGCGTTCTGTGCACCTTCTGCATCTACATCAGCATTTTCATCTTCTCCATGGCCGCGGTCTTCCAAATTTTCGGTTTCTACATTTTCAGCCCTTTCCTGATATATATTTGAGTTAAATTCGGCAGTCTCATAATATATGACGTCAATATCTTTCACGTTAGACGACGTTTTGGCAAATGCCAAAAAAGGACGGAAAAATTCCATGTAGTCAGTCCACTGCCATTTTTTTATGTTGCCCACTGCTTGGCCGGTCTTTGGTTTGGTAGATTTTATATATTTTGCAAATGTGTGACATATGGAGCATATATATTTACCAGAACCAACAGAGAATATATGGAAAAAATGTGCTGAAGAATTTGAAAATAGATGGGTATTTCCCAATTGCATTGGCAGCGTGGACGGTAAACATGTAACAATCAAGAGACTTAACAAACAGTGGCTCCAATTACTGGTGCTATTTACATAAATATTCAATAGTACTTATGGCCTTTGTTGGCCCGGACTATAAATTTATATGTGTTGATATTGGTGGTTTCGGAAAAAATAGTGATGGGGGTATTTTCGAAACCTCAAACATGGGAAAACGATTTGAACAAAATTTAATGAGTGTCCCTGCACCTAGATTTCTCCCTGGGCAAAATGAAATCTGCTCGTACGTCTTAATTGGTGATGAAGCATTTGCTTTAAAACCATACCTTATGAGACCATTTCCTTATAAGCAGACTTTAACAGACGTCAGAAAAGAGAAATACAATGTAAGACTTTGTCGAGCTAGAAGGGTCGTGGAAAATGCGTTTGGTATTTTGTCTCAAAAATGGCGAATATTTTACAGGCCATTAGAAACTAAAGTAGATACTACTATTCTAATTGTACGTACGGCATGTGTTTTACACAATTTTTTACGAAGTAAAAGTGGCGATGACAAATATGTTCAATTCTTAGATCCCCCAGAACCCGTTGGAGCTTTTACTGATATAGCAAATGATCCTCGGCGGGCAGCAAGGCTAGCATTTTCTACTCGTGACAAATTCGTAAGTTATTTTAATTCTGATATGCCTATGCCCAATATATAGAATGTTCGTTTTCACATTTGTGTAGACTGTAAATTATTTAACAAGTTATTAAAAAATATTAGGTACATACCATTTGTATTTAATTCTTTTCCTATTTCCATCCAAATCTTGTCTTTCTTTTTCACATTCCTGTACTCATCGTTCGACAAATCATACAAACAAGGATACTTTTTCACTATTTCTATCAATAATTCCGTTTTTGCCATTGCGAATTTTTGAAGAACGGCGTCAAAAACGCGGTCAAAGGCGAACTGAAATACGCCGCGATAAAAACGCTGGAACAATCGCATTCGCTTCGCACAAGTCTGAGCCTGTCCGTAAACCGCCGCGTTTTAATCTGATCGCGAATTCATCGCCGCGAAATTTTCGCAGCCAAAGCGAATATTTCGCGCCGGTTTGTGGGATGCTTAAAGGTGACCTGGAACCATAAGCTATAGCACCCCAAACCATAACTCCAACAGTGTGATGAACATGACTTTCAACAAAAAACTGTGGATTCCTCCTTTCACCACGTCGCCTTCTAACCCTGGCACGACCATCGTGCATACCTAAACAAAATCGAGACTCGTCACTAAAGACAATACTGTTCCATTCCTGATCCCAGAGTGACCGTTGTCTGCACGACTCAAGGCGATTACGTCGGTGTTCTCGAGTTAAAGGGAGGACCCAGTGTGGCCGGTATGAAAACAAGCTAAAACTTAGGTCTTCCCTGTTCTGCAAACCATTCATTTGCAATGGACCTGGTAGTGGAGAAACGGTCCCTTAAGGCCAATAGACTTAGGCGGCGATCTTCACGGTCACGGCGTCCAGTGCCCCTTGCTCTTTGCGTACGGCCTTCTCGAAGCCATGCCTGACAACACCTAACCACAGTGTCTACACTTCTTTGCACTCTAACTGCAATTGCCCGAAAAGAAAGTCCAGCTTCCCGAAGTCCCACTATACGGCCCCTATCAAACTCACTAAGTTGACGAAATCGTACAGGTCTCCGTACTCTAGGCATCGTAACCGATCGTAAAGGATGTCAAGAACCAAAATCCGCCAACGTTGATTCTTTACTGCGGCTGAAATATTCATATTTAGAGCGTTAGTGAATTAAAAAAAAGCAGTACAAAAACCGGAATGTCCAACTGATAAGGCTGAAAATTTTTTCACTTGTTATTTACAGTAAGATAAATACATTCACCAACTTTTATTAAAATAAAACCATTTAAACTGGCTGTTCGGATTTATATGTCACTTAGTATATAAACATGCCTATGCATATTATGTATTTAACAAAAGTTTATGTAATAAAATGTTTTTTTTTTCGATATACGCGGTTTCTTTTTACGCGGTGTTTTCAAAGAACGTTAGCCCCGCGTAAAACGAGGGACGCCTGTATTTATGAAAAACAATTTTAGTTGAATGGCTGCCGCAGCTGCCCATCCTTCTAACCCAATTTTGAAGCACATTTTCGATAGTTTGTAGGACTATTTCGTTAATAGCTCGGCGGATATTTTCCCTAAGAACATCTGTTTTAAGATCGTTAGTGTAACAGCGTTCCTTAACAGTATCCATAGGCGTCAAATCACAGCTTCGGGCTGGCCAATGAACGTCTCCAAAACGGCTGATAACGCGATGACCGAACGATCCATTGCTCACAACATCTGTCAATATGTCGAGCATTGAAGTGATACCAACTGTCAAAATAATACCAACTTAAATAAACAACTGATGGCCCCTCTTTAGATATACCCAGTTCTTGTGACAATGCCTCTGCCTCATAGGAAATGACTGTGGTAAACTGTGCTTTTGCCGCCATAATATTTAGATTGCCGAATGTGAAAATTTCGCGTTTGTTTTCCCTGCCGTATACTGCTTCTCGCATTGCCGCTGCAAAGACTGTGTGTTGCTATTGTGTCGCTTTAGACTTATAACATGCGTGTGATGTTGCTGTGAACTATGAACATTGTACCTTGCCTTGATATAGCCGTCGCAAGGCTTCATTGATGTGTTGCTTAAGAATGAAACCTGCTAACGCAAAGGCCGTTCGTGATTCCGTGCTGCTTTAGACTGTCCTAGTTGTTGCGTGCTCCACCACAGCATGTCTAAAACCTATTGCATTTTTCCTGGATTAGCTGCCCAAATCCCGGTGAGTCTAGCCCGCATGCAATTGCTTGAATACCATTTCTTTACATCGACAGGGTGTTTCAGTTTATTGTTGCATAATTAAGATTCGATGGAACTTTTAAAATTAATGCATGAAGTCTATATAAACATGGGTCGAAAAATGCGTGGCTTCCGTGTTTAAATTTACGTTCTAAAATAGTTTTTTTTAAATATTTCATACAATATTTGATGTATAACAGTGAAAATTGGTATACAAGGATTTTCTGGTACGACAAAACGAACCATGGGCCTAGTTTTACTGTAGCCGCTAGAGGGCGCTCTTTACTGTACCTGTAGTGTATTAAAATGACCGAAAAATTTTTTTAGTGCAATTTTTTGCTTTTTGAATAAAAAAACTGATTCTTCGCACTTTTCAACATAAAAATGCTCTCCTGTGAGTTTTCGTTATAGTTAGACATTTTTGAGATATTTCGATTTTTGAGGTTCGATGCATTTTTAATTATTTATGGGAAAATAATATTTTTTTTTTACATTTTCGATTTGGGCATTACAAGTAATTAAGATGATCGTTTAGATTGTGTTTTTAAACACAGCAATAATTCCTAACTCCAAATAAACACAAAAAAACAGAATATTAATTTGTTTAATTTTCCAATATTATTTTTAACAAACAAACTAAAATGCTATTGGATAGTTAGGACAAACATACAAAATCTAAAGTAGTTGCTCGAAATGTAAACCCAATTGTTCAATACACAATTCACATCTACGAATGTTCGAACGTGGTATAGCATTATTCAAATAAGGCCTTATTTCATCACATGCATTCCTGACTCTGTCTATTAGAATATCTCTTGTGGTTACGGGAGTCTGGTACACTTTTTCTTTTAGAAATCCCCACACAAAGAAATCTAATGGATTTAGGTCAGGGGATCGTGGAGGCCAGGCGACTGGTCCTCCACGGCCGATCCATCTTTCTGGATAAGTTTCGTCCAGCCAGTTTCTAACTATTCTCGAATAATGAGCTGGACAACCATCAAGCTAGAACCAGGCCAATCTTCTTAAATCTAACTTAACATCATCCCACATATTTGCATGTTCAGCCTTTAAAAATTCCAAGAAGGTCGCAGCATTTAACCTTGCAGGCAAAAGGTAGGGTCGAAATAGTCGATTACGGTAGATACCAATCCACACGTTCACACTAAATTTATGCTGAAAATTTATTTCCCGAACTGCATGCGGATTTCCATGCGACCAAATATGTTCATTATGAAAATTTACCACACCACGTCTAGTGAAGCATGACTCATCGGTCCATAAAACGTTACTTAAAAACTGTGATTCTTCGTTCTCCGTCCCCTGGCTGTAGTCCTTGCACCGGTTGCAAATGGTAAGGACGTCTATGGTCATTTCTAAGAATACGGTGAACATGGCTTGCTGAAATTCCCAAGGCACCAGAAACTCTCCTAACACTTGTGGTCGGATCTCTATCAAGCTCACGCAGAATCATACGGGTTAATCTGCCCTGACGAACATTTATGTTTTGATCCCTTTGGAGATTTCCAAAACCATTTTCAATTATTTGGCGATGCACTCTTACAAATACTGAGGGAGTTGGATGTCGTCTGTTTGTAAATGTTCGTGCGTATTCACTGACTGCTTCTGCTGCGTTTCCATTTACAAAGCCATACACAAAATGAATATCCGCTAACTCTTGATTTTAGAATAAAAATGGCATTTTTATAAAACTTACAAAAAAAACAGGTAAAAGAAACTAAATTTCGTGCATTAACAATTGCAAAAAAACGTTTCAGGTTTCAACAGACAACAAAACTAACTGTCAACTAATTGATGTTTAACCTTATTCTGCTTTCAATTTCAAAAATATTTGGAGGCACGGCCTACTTCTAAAAATATACTGACTTTTTAAGGTTATTTTATCATAAATAATTAAAAATGCATCGAACCTTAGAAATCGAAATATCTCATAAACGGCTAACTATAACGAAAACTCACAGGAGAGCTTTTTTATATTGAAAAGTGCGAAGAATCAGTTTTTTTATTCAAAAAGCAAAAAGTTGCACTAGGAAAAAATTTTCGGTCATTTTAATACACTACAGGTACAGTAGAGAGCGCCCTCTAGCGGCTACAGTAAAACTATGCCCATGGTTCGTTTTGTCGTACCAAAAAACCCTTGTATACCAATTTTCACTATTATACATCAAATATTGTTCGAAATATTTAAAAAAAAAACTATTTTAGAAAGTAAATTTAAACACCCTGTATTTCGGAAGCCACGCATTTTTCGACCCATGTTTATATAGACTTCATGCATTAATTTTAAAAGTTCTATCGAATCTTAAAGTTATGCAACAATAAAGTGAAACACCCTGTATATCATGAAATACAAATGTGGACATGATGTACAGTCAACAGACCATTTATTGAATCAACAGCTTTTGTTGGTAAACAAACACGTCGAAATAGAAGAACGAGTTTAAACGCTTTGTTTTATTTTGTGTATATTGCATCATTTAGTTAGATGAGTAGAGTATAGCAAAAAATATTAAGCACTTGAGCCAGAGTGGTAAAGCAACAGTCCACTTTAGACGGTGGTTTTGATACCAAAGCTTCGCAGCTGTGATTTGACGCCCATGGATTACTTCCTATGGACCGCTGTTACACTAACGATCCTCAAACAATTGATGTTCTTAAGGAAAATATCCGTCGAGCTATTGATGAGATAGACCCACAAACTATCGAAAATTTGCTTCAAAATTGGGTTAAGAGGATGGACTACACCCAGGCCAGCCGCGTCAGCCATTTAACTGAAATTGTTTTTCATATACAGGGTGATTGGAAATTCGAATTTTTCCCTGAAAGTGGTGATTCTAGAGGTTATTTGTGATAACTTAATCCCCATCAACTGGGGGGTCGGAAATGAGCGGTTTCCGAGATATCGGGATTTCAAGATTTTTTTAAGAATTTTGTGCTCTGAGAGCTGTGAAACTAACAAATAGTTGAGATAAAAATGCTATACCAAAAGTTTGAAACTTTTAGAAATAAAAGAAGAGATTTTCACTTTTGTTTATTATTTCCGAAAATCAACATAAGTTATTTGAAATAAAATGTATGACTGTCGGAGTACAGATTACTAAAATAATTGCAGAATTGCATGAGCTTTCGAAAGTCATACAAACCTTATTAACTATTTCAAGCATGTAGTGAGTTCAGTTATGTCACCTTTGGGCACATCTCTTTTCTCCAATTCCATCAGTTTTGTTGCCCTTAATTTGAATTCAAATGAGATTTAATCAACTCAAATCATTATTCATAACCATTCAAGTTGTAAGGGACTTTGCCTTGAAAGTGTTTACCTGAATATACCAATACCGAAATGTAATTTGATATTTAATTTAATTTTAGAAGTCTAAAGCAGAGTTCCCCAAACTTTTTTGTGTCGTAGACCCCTTGCCATGTTTTGATTTCCTGTAAATTTCTAACTGTATTGAAGTTTAGTGTTAAAAACTTAAAGTAAAAACACATGTTAATTTATACATATATTAATTGAATTTAAATTAAATTTACTCAAAATAAAATTTTGTATCTGTTATGTAAAATATACGTAACATTAAATAAACAGGTGTCTGACCAATAAGTGTCCGCATTGGGAATAAGTGCCCGCATTGAACAAAAAATAAGAGGGATAAAATAAAAAATAAAAATTATTACTTAAAATAGAACAATAAGCGAGTTCGTTTATTAATTAATAAACGTATGTTGTACAATAATTTCACTGTTAGTTTGATTAAGTTCCGCTTCTTATACGTTTAAGTTAACTAAAAATAGGCAAAAAATTAACGAATTTTAGTGTGTTCCTCCTTGAATTTTCAGAATAATTTAAAAAAAATTATTTTCTATAAAGGGGGTTTCTTTAAAAAAATCAATGCGGGCACTTATTCCCAATGCGGGCATTCATTGGTCAGACACCAATAAACATAAAATAAACTATAAATAAAATAACATAAGCAATAAGTCAATATTTTTAGTGAGAAGGATGAACCTGATGCTTTAATAATAAATTATCAACATTTGGCGTCAATTTTGTAAGGGTTAATCTTAAATCTCCTCGGCTAATGATGTCCAGTCTGTTTCTTTTTTTCGTTAGGAGATTGGTAACAGCGCTGAACCGCCTTTCCACTAGGTATGACGATGGAAAGGAAATTAAAAATTTCCTCGCTATATTCCATAATACGGGATAAGTAACGGGTATGTTGTTTTGCAGCCAGAATTGCTGATATCCGTTTTTAAACTGAACCTTAAGTTCTTCGTTTGTACTTAGTTCAGTCAGTTCCTCTTGTACTATGACATTCGTTTCTTCTATGTCACCATATGGATTAATTATCCACGGTGATATTACCATAATCAAAATACCCTCAAACCCAGATTCAAAGTCTGAATAGAGGGCATTTAAATGTTGAACGTAAGTTGAAACGTCGTCTTCCTGGCAGCTTGTGACAAATTGGGGAACTGTCCGCCCCGTCCAATATTTTGCTTCATTAGTTTAACTCTGGCAAGAAACGCTGATAAGATGGACTTTGTTTTAATCAAATTTAAACTGTCGCCTTGTAATTGCAAATTAACCATATTAAATTTTGTAAACTAATCTGTTAAATAGGCGATGTCTGTTTTCCTCTTCATTAAATTTTCTTTTAAAATTTTATCTTTAGTATCCAGAAATTATAAAATAGTCTCAAAAAGTGCAAAAAATTTTGTCAAACATAAGCCTTTCGACAGCCATCGTACTTCAGTGTGAAGGACTGGTTGATGAAAGTGTTCGTCATTTTCTTCACACAACTGCCCAAATAACCGCGTATTCAACGCGTTGCTTCGGATTCGGTTTACTGCATCAATGACTAAATGAAGTGATTCATGCAATCTAACACCCAAATTTTCATCAACTAAATGTTGTCGATGGATGACCCAAATGTATTGCTAACACCCCTGACACATTTTGTTTTAAATAGCTTATAAATCCACGATAACGTCCAACCATGGCAGGTGCTCCATCTGTAGCTACTGGCATTATATTTGATAACGGAATTGCTTTTTCAATGACGTAATCTTTCAAAACATGAAATATTGATTCACCTTTAGTGTCGGTTATCAAAGTTCTTGCGAAGAGCAGTTCTTCGTAGATTTCTTGATTCATAATAAAACGAACATATGCCAATAATAATGCTGCATTATCAGGTGAAGTTGACTCGTCCAGTTGTATAGAGAAATGGGTCGTTTGCAAATAATTACATAAGAAGCTTTCAATATCAGAACTCATTTCATCATTACGTCTGTCAACAGAATTGTTGCTTAAGGGAATTCTCTTAATGATATCAGATGCAGGTTTGTGTAAAACAGTTTTTAAAACCTCTTCAACGGCTGGCAAAATTAACTTCTCTCCGATAGTATGCGGTTTTCCGGATTTTGCTATAAGTAACGAGATATTGTAAGACGCCAGCAAACCATCATTATTTCTTTGTGACGTCGAAGCGAACATTCTGTCCAATGTAGGTCTGTTCTGAAATTTATCTTTAAGTGTTTGAAAGTATTTCAAATCTTTCTCTGTTTTATCAGGGTGGCATCTTCTCAGATGATCTTGCAGTTTAGATGGTTTCATAGCGTCATTGCCCAAAACTTTGTTGCATAAAAGGCACATAGGCGATTGTTTGTCCGGCAATGATGGACTGAAGCCAAATTTCAAATAATCAACACTGTACTGTCTACATTTCTTTTTAGATTCGGACATGGCATCAGTCATCTGTGGGCAAAATTAAATTATTTAAATAAGACAGAAAATCCAGCAGCTGTATATTGAAAAATTTTTTTAATTTTTCCGAAAACATTCCATAATTCTTTTTCTTGCAACAATTAGCTCGAATTACGGAGATTGCACTGTAATTATATGACCGATTGCTAAAACTTTCAAAAAGAAACTATTGAGGAGTACTCGTGTAATTTTGCGTGATTGAATATTTAACTACTAATAACTAAAGTCATGATTGGCGTGATTTAACTATCCTTGCTAACTACGAGTACAAAACTAAAATTTAATAAAAAATAATGTACTTGCTTTTCTCCAGCACTCTCAAACAAAATAACACTGACTCACTATAATTTGTGTGATATACTATCTGTTTATATTTTTTAAAATATTTTCTTAGCACTTTCCTTTTCAAGATTTAGGAAACGAATAAACGTATTTGTCCTACATTCGTATCTATAGAGTGACGAATTGAACAAGTCAGTGCAAGGTAGCGAAGCTCTGAGACTGCGACTCTCAGGTTTTTACAAGTCCAAAATGTATTGCCACCACAAAGCGAATACCAACATCCTACAACTTACACAATTTTATAAACATATATAGTAAATTTTTTACTTCATAGGTACTTTTATAAATAATGTATATGTTTTGATATTATAAGATAGTATGATGTAAGTAAATAGGTACTATCAGTGTATGTGTTGAGATCCACTATCGTGGACCCCATATTCATTTCATGGACCCCCAAATTTTTTTTCGCTAACGTAGACCCCTTGCAGGTTGTCATAGATCCCTAGGGGTCGATATAGACCACTTTGGGAATCAATGTCTTACACAGACAATTTGTACCATTTTGATTTTCCTCCTGGCTCCTATGTAGTGAGTTCACCTTTGGGCACATCTCTTTTCTCCAATTCCATCAGTTTTGTTGCCCTTAATTTGAATTCAAATGAGATTTAATCAACCCAAACAATTAATCATAACCGTTCAAGTTGTAAGGGACTTTGCCTTGAAAGTGTTTACTTGAATACACCAATACCTAAATGTAATTTAATATTTAATATTTAATTTAATTTTAAAGGTCTAAAGCATTATCGAATTTCTGGTGCTTGGCCGGTTACTAGCCAAAACATAAAAGACGAACATTCTAAACATGACCGTTTGTACAAAAGCTGTCTCATTTAACAACGGTCTTTGTGGGACCATTCCAGAATAAGAAATGCAAATATTAATTAACTATTGTTAATAAAACAGAATATATGACTGCAGAAGTTAAAAGCGTTTATTATTACTCCCACGTATTTTAAAATCACGCACAGACCATAAAGCTTTTAGAAAAATTGTGATCCTCTAATATTACTCGGGTATAATACGGAGGTAGACAACATTTATTTTAAATAAAGATAGGTTGGCTCAGGAAGGTCTAGTTTAAAGAATTTTCAATAATGACATTTAACAAGATGCCATATTTTTGCCGTTTCAAGTAATATTTATAGTAAGTCAATCTGAAATTGGAATTAGTTATATAACGGCTGCCACAACCATACAAGGTTGGAGTACTACTCGACAACAAAGGGGTATATATCTAATATATTCCCAATTATACAGGGTGTCCCAACTTTAACCCACATATCACAGTTGTTTTTCTTAATGGAATGGTGTTGTGTTTAGCACCACATTAAGGGGCCAGTTGCATCAATGACGAGCAAAAAAGACTTATTTGTCTGAACCCCCTGATGGCCCATGATGAAAAATGGCTTAAGCCTTATCTCAGATGAGGAAGGCCTCCGCGGTCTCCTTCTATAAACTCTGGGCCACGTACTTTTCTCACTTTTGGGTTATACACATGCAGACCAATACACATAATCGACAGCCGTCCTTTTTCTTGAGAATTGGACATCTCAGTTTGCAGCATGAGCCTGACTCAGAATTGGATTGTAAAAATATGTACGGTGTTCAAGATTTGATAACATTATGATATCAGGAACTGCTACAGTGCTGTAAATTGATTGGTGTAAATGTCTCAAGTTTAAATGCTAATAGTTTGAATGCTTTATTGTATCAATAGTTCTTAAATGATTCTTAAATGATTCTGAACAACCAAAATAAAATCATACTCTTATCAAGTAACTAGTTTTCGATAAGGAGGCAATTCAAATAATTATTTTTTATGAACTAACGGTTTCCGATTCTGTTCTCATATTTATCTTGTATTTTCTCCCTCTCGTATTTACCCTGTATATGTTTTTGCGGCCAACATTTGCTCTTCGTAGCAATATAATCTTATTTTCATGATCATACGTAATATCCACTTAACAATATGTTTAATTCTAAACAACAGAAACATAGTCCTATAATTGAAATTCTCCTTTCTGTGGCTTAGCATTTGCAAGGTTTCTCATGACCAAATGTTTGTTATTTTTAACAGCCTTGCACTTACCTTTTTATTCACGGATGTGTATGATTTTTTTAGCTTCGTAAAGACTAAACGCTAAAATGCTAAACTATAATATTCAGGCATCAATTTCGGTACCACGAATTTCACGACTCGTTCAGAAGAAGGGGGATTGGCTTTTTGAAAGCACTGAATACTGCAAATTGCCCCGCTCTGGCTAGTATCTGTTATTGTTGCTAAAAGAATCTTCAGCTTTCTACCTGAAAGCTGCCTACATAAAAAGCCTGTTGATAAAAATACCTAGAACCATTCGATAAGATTTTTTATTCTTTTATATTCATTCAAGCATGGTTTGGCAGCTTTGCCTTTCCAATAATACGCTTCTAGAACGGCACAGCATTTCTAGGAAGGCAGCTAACATTATAAGTTCATCAAACTCGGGTGGTCGGATATCGATCCGGTTTTATTATGTCATTGTAGGCATGCCACTTGCAGGAATAAACTTTGGGCTTAATAAGTGTGGGGTGGTTATCTGCTATTAAACTATAATCCAAATTGTGGTTAAATTCAATTAAGAAAACAATGAAATCGGTTACATTCTTCCCTCTCCCTCAGTGAAATACAGCATTTTACCCTCTTTGTTATTGCTTCTATTATACCTTAAAAACAAATGATTCGGAAAATATAAGGAAAGGACTTTCATCCAACCCTTTCGAAGCTTTCAGTGTCTAAAGCTCAGTTCCTTTGTCTTCATCGCACTGCGGTTTCTACATTTATACCACTGGATCTCGAAAGCCTTGAGCATTGACAGTTAAATTCCAAAAGAAAATAAAGGATCATGCGGAGAAAGGTATATATTAAGTTGAAAAAAATAATGACCAATTCCGCAAAAAGAAAAAGGACTCGAGCAGCAAAAAAGGAACAGGTAACCCGAGCAATACGAATTTCTGCTTGTTGGCTTCATCAGGCCGGAAATGGTCGACGTAACACAAATTGCTCGGATTACCTATCCTTCTTTTCTGATCGAGTCCACTCTTCCTCCTTTCTGCGGAATTGCCCATCATTTTTTCTATTAGTTAACTTGTATTTTAACAGACCTGTAATAACCACCAAGGTCCTTCGCATTGTGTCAAAATTATAGCACATTTAACAGTTTTGCTAAATTGTTCAAAATCGAGATGTTTCATTTTGTTTGTACAATTTTAACCCGTGGTACTTAACACTATTTCTAGTTTTGGAAAGGCGATGACAGTCTGGGCACGGATGTACTTAGTTGCTGCTGTTCTAATATAAGTATCTATGTAACTAACATATCTTCTCTGTAAGCCAAAAAATGTGTGCAGAATAACCCATGCCAGAATGACGTACGTTATCCTAGTGAGGAAGAGTGAATGGTAACTGGTGAGCAGTCTTTTCTGAGAAACTAAAGTTCTAAGATTACGTATCAGATAATTGGCTTTGGTCAAAGTTTTGTAACATGATTTGCATGTTCATTCCAACTCAAAGGAAATTCAACATACATTTGCGTCAAAACTTGCAGATAAATGGTCATTGTCCGAGTTTTCATTTAAGGTCAAACCGTTAACAACAAACAAGTTCCGAATGTCTCTCCTGCAGCCTAATGATTCATTATCTAGGTGCCGTGAGTTTAAAGAAGAGTAGTAGTAGTTGCTAATTGTGTATGTCATGATGTATAACAAGAATAACAATGGTCCAAGTGCAGATCCTTGAGGAACCCCATGAAAGGTTGTACAGACAGCAGTATTGTATTCCACATTGCTGCTTTACAGACAGGTAAGACTTGAGAAGCTGCACACTGCATAGAGCCATGGAATAGAAAGCAAGCTTTGACAATAGTAACTCATGCTGCACACAATCAAATCGATGGAAAAAATTCAGCCTTCACGTATCATTTGTTTTCAAAGCTCTCCTTAATTATTTTGGTGAAACTGTTTATTGCAGTTGTCGTTGACATAACTTTCCTGAAACAAACTGACAAGTATTTAATAGACCACTTGACTCTAGATGCCTACTCGATTGATCTCTGAGGATGATCTCCAATGTTTCTGCAAAATAAGGTATAATTCATTTAGGGCAATGATTAGAGAGTTCGTGAACAGATCTTCCTTTGAAAGTTGGTATCACTTCAAACACTTTTAGAGACGCAGGGAATGTGCTTGATTTTAGAAAAATACAGGGTATGTCCGGAAAGTAATAGGACTGAGTCGATTTAAAAAAAATTATTGAGCCAATCGTTACAATTTTTTAAAAACCTTCAAAATAGGCTCCTTCTGCATCGATACAGCGCTACCAGCGCGATTTCCAAGCATTGAAGGCGTCACGGAAGGCATTCTCCGGAATAGCCTTGAGAGCCGCGGTGCATGCTGCTTGTATCCCCTCTGTCGTCTCAAAATGCTTGCCTTTTCAGGCGAGGAAACAAAAAAAAGTCCGGGGGGCCACATCTGGGCTGTAGGGCGGCTGCGGAAGCGTTGGGATGCCG